TGGTACTAGTGAATCGAAGGGAAAGGATATAGGCTAAGCTAACATCTCTTGCCTAAATCTTTGTAAGATATAGTGTAATGATTTGTGAATTATGAGCTAAAGGTATGTATAAATTGCCATAGGATTTGTACATGTGCATTAGTTATAATTATGGTATGTTTTGATTTTGAACTCCCTAGCCTTATATGTGTGTGAATGAAGAAATGATTGAAAGGGCTAGTGGATGGATATAATTATGTGTGTATATGAAATGGGTGGAGATTATATGGAGTAATTTGGTCATATATGAGACTAGAAAAGTAAAAATATGATTTTGGCCCAAAGTGTAAAATAGGCAGATTATAGGCCAAATTTGTGTATGTATTATATTGTGTATGTGTATGGTCAATTAGGTGTATTTTGTCCATTTGGATTTGGTCAAAGCCAAAAAGTGGCTAATGACAATTAGTTTCGAATTTAAGACACTTAAGTAGCAAAACTTTGACAGAAAATAATCAAAGTGCACTTTAGTATTCAATTTTTGATAGAAATATCGGATCAAGATGAAACTAGTGTCATTAGTTAGATTTCAAAATAAGCTTCATGTGGGCACTTGTCCTATCCCAGTCGAACTTCGTATGTGAAAATAGTGCACATCTGAATTTCATATTAGAAACTACCATTTGACAGCAAATTTAAGTGTGTGTGTTGTGATGCATGTACTCGCATGCCGTGGCGCACAGCACAAAGCAGGTGATTGTGGCTTTTATGCCACATGCCGCGGCGCATGTGGCATAAGCCGCAATACACGATGAAAATTTTCACTTTATTTTTAAGTGATACACATGTTTTCTTGACTTTTGATGCACCAATTCTTTATGCTTCCACTATATATGTAATTGTGTATGGGGTTGAATAACCCAAATGATTATAAAAATGTTTTTTAGAAATCTTTTATTAGGATCCCAATGTTTTCACTAAATTTTAACTCAGATTAGAAGTAATTAGTGAATTTTGTAGTGGAATGTATGGTAATGTCAATGAGGGCATTACATGATTTATCTAGTTCTCCCCGATTTAGGGTAGGTTTGGGCTACTCACTAGTGGTTATCTATCCCCTTTCATTTGGCCTTGCTTCCAAACTAGCTACTTGGCTGATTCCTAGTTGAACTAGCGAGTCCAATCCTGTTCTAATAACCTTGTAATAAACTACTTTATTGTGGATAAGATTGGTTAAAAAGCTTTACATTTTTTAATAAAGAGATTATATAATATAATATAGGGTTAAATGAAAGTCTAACCTCTAAATTACCCTTCAACTTTTTAATATTGTGCAATATTGTTTTTGTTATTAAGAAAAATTAACTACTATTGTTACTTAACTAAAAAATGACAAAAAACTTAAACACTTGAAAACTAATTAAGAATAGTAAGTAAAAACCAATTTATCAAAATAAGGTTCAAGAAATAAAATGAATAACAATTTCCAAACCAAGAACAAAGTACAAGATTATGATAAGCTGAATACAAAGAGAGTAGGGATAGAGATACTATACAAAATGATTTATCTTAATTTAGCTCAACCACTTAGCTTATGTCTAGTCCTCAAAGCGCCTATGAGATTTCTCTACAAAAATCACATGCTTAAGTGAGTACTTACTAGCACAATATAACTACAAGTTTGATTTGGATACTTGTAAACCACTACAAGTTCCTCACAAACATTAATGAGGTTTTCACACAAGAGAACAACTCTCTTGATTACAAGGAAATCTTTTCCTCACAATTTTCACCTTTAAAGAGAAATCTCTTCTCTATACAAAGACAAGGGAACACTACCATTAAATCTCTTAAAACTAAAATAAAGGTGTTTTCCTAATGAATTCTCTCTTAAAGAGATGATATATAGGAACAATTTAGATCATTCAAATAAACTCTCTAAAGAGTAGATAATACATTTAATGCTTATAAACTAAGTGAGAGCAAGTTTCACATAAACTAAATGCAAGTTATTAAGAATTGAATGATAAGGCATTCAATACATAATTGTTGAATGCCCGCTTACTTAAATGAGTCTTATGTATAGTTTGGCATCAAAAGAGGTGTTAGGAACACTCTGAATAAATATTATAGCTATTGAAAATATGTAAAAGTGAAGGTTACTATAAAATGGCACTTTTTTTCAAACAATATTAAATGCTTGTCAAAGCTTAATTCACATGTGGATTAGTAAGGGAACATGTGTGAATTGGCTTTAATCACTAATGATTGGGTCACTTCTAACTATTTCAAGCATGAAGGCTACATGGTTCAAGTGTGTATTAGAGTTTAGAAGCTCCTTGGTTCCATCATGAGCTCAAACACACGTGGATGCAAACTCATTCAAGCATGTATTGGAAATGTGCTCTTTGTAAGGTCAAATGTGCTTGAGTTACAACTAAAGCAAGCCTGAATTAGCTTGTTTAGTTTTAAGGCTCTCTAAGTTATGCTTGAAAGAAACTAAGTGTGGAAACCAATTCAAGCATAAATGACCAAGGTGACATGCATAGATTACACAAAGTCACACTTCAAGCTAACACATAAGGACAATTCCAATGTGTATAACATCTAACTCAAGCGAGAATTAGATTATAGAAGTATGTCCATGAGTAATGGCTAATTTAAGCATGTGCTCAACTCTGAGACAAGTGATTTTCAGCCAGACTCAAAACACTTACCTTCACTAAAGGCTCAAACACACGTGAGTCCAACCTAAGACACACATGAATTGATTTACAATATTGGGCAAAGCTTCTGAAGGCCAATTCAAGCAAGTATCAGTCTTAAATCAAGTTTGAATTAGATCCATTGAGTTTTATAAAGCATGAAAGGGTATCTAATTCACACATGTGCTTAAATCAAAACAAGCATGAATTAGATTGTTAATCACAAATGCATTCTAAGTGTTTGACAATAAAGTTCTAGGACTTATTAGCCTATAACATGTTCTAATTAATGCATTCTTACCATTCAAAATGTTATTTTCTCTCAACGGTTTTCACAACAATATCTAAGAGAAGAAACAAATAAATAATATTAAGTCTAAGTCTTCTCTTCTTTGTTATGCTCTTGGAGGTTTTATTACTTAGTAATTATGATATTGAAATGCACAAGTAAACCCTTTTTCTCTTGATTTTGTAATTATCAAAACATATGATTCAACAATCTTTGTAGGAAAATTTTATGTTAGTTTCATTACTATTAAAATTTTAATATTTAGCTAAAGCCAAGTGTGGTGATCAAATGAGTGGAAGAACTTATCAAGAAACAAAGGACATACAATCTAAGGCGAAATGGAACTATATGGGAGGTAAGCTTCATTATATTTATATCTTACTGTTTTTCACACACACACACACACACACACACACACACACATAATGATAAGATTCTTTTGTTTTCTTCAAGAATGATCAGCAAAATTAATCATCCCATGTGTTAAAGATACTAACGTGAAATTGTCCCCATGATATGAGTTTCATAAACTTCCATAGCCATCAATTATGTTTCCTATACATGTTAATTTTATGATTTTTTTTTATTCAGTCTTTAGATCTTTAAAATATTCATTGGTTTCTAACTGATTAATATGAGAGGAATAATACATATTTGAAAACTTATGTAAGAATAACAACCCTTCGCTGTTACCATGTGTTTACCGTAGTTAAATTCAGCCGAGACCAACACTTTAGGGAAATTATGTTGAAGGATACACAACAATCAATATTAAAAAAAAAAACCAGAAAAATTCAAATCATGTTGAAGGACCAACATATAACTGATAGACCATTAAACCATTGTGAAAGACACTTGGCTAAATGACTACGTTACGTTTTTCTTTTCTCCCTTCTCAGACAAATTTGTTAAAAACTAATGTTAAAATTTAATATTATAATACTTCACCCATCCAACTTTTGGTTTGAGAAAAAAAAATTATAATTAATTAATGGAGAACATGGGAAGAGAAAAGCAGGTTTTGGTTGGCACCCGAAAGAAGAGGAGAGGATAGAGCCGCAATATGATGAACTAAATTTGGTTTAAGCTTCCAACGAAGAATAGGTTGGTGAGATGCCTAATACTACAATGTATATAATATATCATATATTCCCAACCACTAGACTAATTAAGAAATTAAATCCACACAATTTTCTTTCTTTTCGCAGAACAAACCAGTTGGCTCAAAATTCCTCCCCCCCCCCCCTTATCGATTTTAACACAAGTTTGACCAACGCATTATAATGACATTATTGAGATTAATGTTACATCAATAAAAAGATGCAGAAAAGTTTATCTTAATTAAACTAGCTACCTACTTATTAGGAGATGAACGGACGAGTTCATGATTAAATTATTAGCTATTAGCTAACAGCTTTTGGAAGCAAAAGACAGAGATTTTTTTTTTTTTTGGGCCAACGAGAGAGAGATCTACACACACAAACATATTACGGCTCGAAACCTTATTATTATTATGCTAAAGATTGAAGATTGATGCTTTTTAATGAAAGCTAACTTTGGTGAATGCCTCGGAAAGGAGCTTTGATCAGAAATTGCATGTGTGAACCATTGATCTAATTTACTATACCCTAAAAACATAACCACTCCACAAATAAAAAAAAAAAACAATCACCAACAAATGTAGATTTAATTAATAAGAATTTAGTTCATAACTCACAAGATCACAAATTCAAATCTGCCATTGATATAAAGACCTTAGTTGACAAACTGTAAGCACTTTTGTAAGCTTATATTCTTTAGGCTGGAAGGCATGTCCAAAATTCAACTTATTAAACTTTTTTCATAAAAAAAAAAAAAAACCATAACCATATGAAACTGCCGCACTGTTTCGATGTATTGAAAACTGCAATCGCATAACTCGTAATGAGATGTTCCCTTCAGATTCTTCTGCTACTATAATACTATAACTGATATAGTACATTACATGATACATACATATATATATATATATGACGTATCAAACCAAGAAGGAAAAGAGAGAAAACTTGCATTCAATGAATTAATGATGAACAACTGATCAAGAAAGTTTTACAAATCATCAACGCACAACACTATACTTAGGCGATAATTAATACCTTATTCTCTTCGTCCTTGTTCTGTTTCCGACAACTACTACTCCCAGTAATAAAACTAATACAACTACAGCTACAACTTTCAACTTCCACTTCTTCATGTGGAAACCGAATTTACTTGTTATTCTCACCTCGATCACGAAATAAAACTCACCCAAAGGATATCATAATATCATCATCACAATCATCACAATTTAATTACAGTCTCAACTGATGGAGCTGCTAAGCATTGATTAAACATACTCACTATCTAGCTAACTAATCATCAAACTCTCACACAAACGCTAAGCAAAAGCAACCAATATTATCTCAGTTTCGTGGTCGTACATACCTTGCATGTTTCTAAGTGTACGATGTTGTCTCAAACCAAGGTTAAGATCGAATGGTAGTTTCATCGTCATTCATCGTCAGTATGGAGGACGACCCGTAGCCCAGAATGCTTCTGATGGCATCTGTATAGAATTCAGAAGATTCGGAGGCAGACCATGGAAAAGTGGAGCCGTTGTGTTCACATCCCCTAAAAGCTGTCCTGCTTGCTGTTGACCACCACCACCTGGAGAGCCGATGCCCCCTTCTCGGCTGCCACCACCTTGCATCGGCATGGAGGGATCATCTTCTTCCAAAGGAAGCCTCTCATACGCAGCGTTACTGAACGACGCCGCCATGATCACCACTGGACCTGAAGCTGTTAGTGTCCCAACCACGCTTCCTCCTACGACTTGCCCTTGTCCTCCGGCCAAATATATGGTTAATCCTGATGCGGCCGGAGGAGCCGGCGGTGGTAAAAACGATCCAGCAAGTGACAATATCTCGAATCTTCCGTGGAGAGTGACGACGGCTCCCGGAGAAGCTGGTTGCCTGAGAGTCACGTTCGTTACCGTCCCTGTTCCACTCATTATACAAACCCCTCTCTGCCTCCGGCGGGCAAAGTTGGAGACACTCTCTATGATATCGCAGCCGTCGGCCACCTCCATCACGTGGGTTCTGAGCGCGTTTGCGCTGTCGCGCGTGATGATGATGGGCGGCTTCGGCTTGTTCTTGGAGCCGGCGGGCCTTCCTCGCGGTCTTCTCGTGATCTCGGCATCGCCGGAGCCCACGGCCACCATCTCCTTTCCCTCGCTGTTGCTGTTTTCTTCTCGATCCCTTTTCTGAGCAAGGTTGAGGCCGCCGCTGCTTCCGCTCTGCTCGTCTTCTGTGTTTTGATGGAGAGAGTGAAATTGATGGTGTGGATGATGAAGATCCCTCGTGTGGAATGGAGGAGGAAGAGAATGAGGATGCGCTGTAATTTGGTCCATCAGTGAATGCTTTTATTTCCCAATAAATTCAACAGATCACTTGCTTCTTCAGATCGATAAGATTTCACAACCCACTTCCTTCGCTCGCATATACAATCTAGAAGCAGATAACTGGGCAAATTCTGAACATAATAATATATATAGGTTTACAATTTTTTATCTGGACTTGTGTATATAGTACCCCTGTGATGTTGTCGATGAAGGAATTATTACCTAGCCGTACTTCTTCTTGCTAGGGCATGAATCAATTACTGAACAAAAAGTGGAGACTCAAATTGCTTGAGGCGGTGTGCAAAGTGGAAACACATCAGAGATTTGATGGGTAGATGGAGAGTAGAGAGAAAGTGAAAGAAACAAGATTGAACAGAGAAAAGAGAGGGTACTAGAGCGAGCTGGTAAGTGTTGTTGGAGGGGCTAGGGTTTGATTCGGGAAAATAGATCCAAATTATTTTGGTTTTGACAAGACTGCGTACTTTTGGGCGGTGGATGGGTCCCCACCTCTCTCTCACAAGCATATACATATTTGCGTGTTGATTTTTTGTTAGAAATTAAATTAAAAGCTTTCATCTTTCAAGACAAAAAATTGTCAACCGTTAAAAATTTGTGTGTATACTAATAAAAAAATATTTCTTTTAATAATATATAATATATGAATGTTGGACATGGAGAGGTAAGCAAGATGTGCATCCCAACCCCTATCCATCTCAAGCGATTCATATTACAAAAGATGAAATCAAATCAAAGCAGAGTTCTTAAGTTTTGACCTTCCTTTTGTTTTATCGATCTATATGATTGATATAATTAAGGGGCAACATCGATTTCCTTTACTAGACAAAAGCAAAGGTTTCTATAAAAGCCTTCAGTTTCCCAAAGATTATAACTCTCACACACTCTCAGTCAAAAGTACAATATCTCTAGCCAATGAGAGGCTTTGACCTTATATATACACCCATATCCAGAGCAAGGAACTCCATATTCTCATTATTAAGACTGTTCATTCCATTCTAACTACTCCAGCTGGAATAGCATCGTACGGGTGTTGTAGTATATATCTACTCTAGTTTAATACTTGAAGCTATAATAAGACCTAGAAGTTCATAAAATAAGTATACACAGCTTATAACTTTTAAAGCGTCCTCAATTCTTAATAGTTGTATGTAATTCCAGATGCACAGAATTCACTGAGATGGACAGATACATGTTTTAACCTTTAGGACCACACGCACACGCACACATATGTATTTACTTTGGTTGTCTGGGTTATGAGTTGCTCAACTGGTTGACATGAAGTTATTGTAAGAAAGGATGAAAATGGATCATAGGTTATAACCTATAAACGTAGTGGAGGTTTAAGGTATCCGTTAAATGTTTTTTGTTTTGTTTTGGTGTATGTAACACAAATTAAGGAACACCTCGGTGGCATATGTATGGAAGATTATTATAAATGAAAGCTCATAGCTGGCGTAATTAAAAACGGACTGTGTCAATCTGTCATGTATGGGGCGAGAGAGAGAGAGTGGGTTGTTGTTGGGACTTCAATTTTCTATGAAACCCACATGCACCATATGGAGTTGGTCTGCGAATTCCATCTTTATATTCTCAAAGTCTAAGCTTAAGGTTCAGGTCCACAAGATGATAGCACGACACGTGTCACTCCCGCCCGCTTCTTTCGGGTCTATTCCTGTCGTCTTCGTATCTTTATTATACAAATTTTACTTCCCTTCACTCCACTCATCATATTGCCTCTCAACCTAATTTGTCTGCAGAGTAAAACTCACACTGCACAGGAGAGAAGTATGTACGAAGTTGAAATAGAATGATCCAAAACACAGAAAATATAAAACAGACTGTCATGACATACATATAGCTGTTAAAGAAGAAGAAGAAGAAGAAGAACAAGAGTTTTGAGGTTTGAAGGTGTAAAAATTTGTGTTCAAGATACATATACGCAAGCCCATAAGATGGATACACACTCACGAGGGAAGCGTTTAAGAAAAGAGGAGCCTTTTTTCTTTTATTGCTCGCATGCACGGATCGTCCTATCGGAGGCAGGCAATCTTAGTTGAGACACGATCAAACACTAAATATGAGTACTTTTTTTAACAAAGATTCTATCACGAATATCACATCGAGGAGCTTCATAAGTAACGTGAAGTTTATAAGTGCGAGGGGTTTTTCTCCCTAACAAATTATCACAAGTCCCACATCGAAGAGCCTCACAAGTGATGTGAGGTTTATAAGTAGGAAAAGCTCTCTCACCCAACAAACTAGCTTTTTAAAATGAACTCTCCTTTCGAGCTTGTGTTCATTATAGACTTGAATCTTAATTCGCCACGTTATAAGGGATTAGCCTTTTCAACTAAATACAACTCCCATTGGTGGAAAAGAAGAGCCTTTAATTTGAGGCATTATAATTTTTTTTTTGGATAAAAGATTAATTATAGATTATTGTAAGCTAAGTAAGTGTGAGGCATATAATATATAATGGTTTCTTTTTTTCTTTTTTTTTTTTGTACCAGAGATTTGCTATAATGGTTTAGGTATTGAGTGAATTATTGGGAAGGCAGAAAGAGGATAAAGATAGAGAGACAACAGTGGAGATGAGAAGGGAGCAAACTGTGTGTGGGAGTGTGTGTTGGGCATGAGCAGCAAAAGAAATGGGGCTGATAGGGCCATAGCTGTAAGGTAAAAGTAGCTTGTCACACGTGCAAACTTGCCAATCCCCACTCACTCTCTAACCTTTAGTTGTGTGTGTATTACATGTATATTTAGGATTAAACATTTTCTCTTCTAATTTTTTTTTTGGTATTGGGCATCTTGTATTAAAAGATGAAGCAATATTCTCCAAAATAATTTAATTTTAGGAGTAAAATTACCTTTCTATTAAAAACCCATCATCTTCTTTATTACCAGCTAAAGTAAAGTAGTTGTGGGATTCATTCACAAGGTATCAATTCTAACTCATTTTTCAACCATTTCACGGCTAAAATTAGGCTGATTTCCATCACTTTCACTTCCAGTCTCTTTAGCTAACATCATATAATCAAAATGTTTTGCTCACACCATGCATGGGTTGATAATTATTTCACATTAGTGGAAAAAAGAGGCAGTATGAGTATATAAAATGGAAATAAAGAGGTTGTAGGATGGTTGTAAGTAGGCGAATAAAAAATATATAGGCGTGTATGGGAATCGGAATGAATGTGGGGGGAGGAGGGGGGGGGGGGAGAGATAGAGAAGGGAGTAAAAGACGCGTGGTTAGCGATGACACGCAGAGAAGCCACACTTACGCCACCAGCCTGCTTCTAACTCCAATCTCTATATATACTTTTCATTAACTAACCTTTTTATCCCTTTCATTTTTTTTTCATATATATATTTTACATATTATTCGAAATTTCCTGTTACTTTTCTACTTGTACTTTTGAATTTTTACTTTTCAAAAGAAGTAGCTGATCTGTTTGCCAATGCAATGTTATTTGATAAATATAGGGACTTTATAATCGAGGAACTCAAACTAAGGTGCATACAATTCTTCTTGTTTTCGTTCTTATTCTTGCAAAGCAAAACTACACATATTTTGTGGGAAAAATTAATCCAAATACTATATTTGTTAAAAAAATTTAAAGGTATTGGCATCGGTTCAGAAAAAGCTTCAGCAAAAGGAGCGAGCAGAGACAGACTGAATTCACCATTCACTGACCTCTCTGCCCTAAAACCCATGCATTCCCAAGATGCTCTCTGTCGGCATCACTCTCTCTCTCACATGCTTAGCTCCCTTCAACTCCCAGTCTTATCCTCAATCCCTTCAAAATCAATTTATTATCCTCACGCGATCACCCTTCTTCATTCCAACTCACTTCACTATCTTCTCTTGTTACTTCTTTTTTTTTTTAATCTTCTCTTCTAACTTTAATATAATATGATTTGCTTCCATCCATCATAGAAATAGAAAGGTTAAGTATACTAATAGTTATTTGTGAAAATAATCACTTAATCATTATAATTTTAACTTAGTTATAATTTAATTTTTAAATTTTAACTCGTTATAACTCAATTTTTAAAGTTTTGATTTAGTTATAACTCAATTCCTAAATGTTGACTCTTACAATGTAGTTCCTATAGTTTCAACCACTTAAATATTAATTTTTATAATTAAAAAATAAAATTAAAAATATTGAAAATATTTTAAACTTTTAATATTTATAATATTTATTAAGATTAAAAGGGTTTAGTAATTTAAAATATTAATAATAAATTTTAACATAATTTTAATCTTTATAAGTTTATTTTTTAAAATATAAGGACTAATAATTAAATAGTTAAAATTATAAGGACTGAATTATAAATATCAAAGTTTAAGAACTAAATTATAACTAAATTAAAATTTTAAAAATTGAGTTATAATAAGTCAATATTTAAAAATTAAATTATAACTGAATGAAAATTATAATAATTAAATAATTTTTTTTGGTCATTCCATACCTAATATTTATCGTCTGCTATGCATGGGAGCCTCAAACAGCCCTGTTCTCTCTCTCTCTCTCTCTCTCTCTCTCTCTCTCTCTATATATATATATATATATACACACACATATTAATGTTCTTTTCTATATATTCACTGTTAAAGGAGCATCTTATTAAGGCTTGTTAGCTAAACATTATAATATATTGCCAAACACCCCCCCCCCCAAATTTTTTCTTTCAATTGACCTTGTCTCAAAACGCCTAGCGTTAGATAGTAGATACTGGTATAAACGACAAGAAATTATAGCTCATTTATAGTTTTACTGGCACGATTTTCCCCCAGTTGGGCCAAACTAAATAAATTTTTTGCCTCCATTCACATTGACTTCAATATGAAATGCCCCGAATTATACAGGTCTTGTTTACAAATTACATATAATATGTTTTATTAAAATTAAAAAAATATTTAAAACATTAATTCAGTTTAAAAATTTAATAGGTTTTCAACTCAAAACAACTCAGTATTTATATTTTTTTATTTCACTATTTATATTTATTAACCTAAATTTTTATACATGTGAATTAATAGAATTTTTCTCTCACTCATCATAAATTGAAATAGGTAAAAAAATAATATATATTTTAATGAGAGTAATGATTTTATTGGTACATGGATTCTTATTAAAATATACTTATATTTTGAATTAAAAATATTTTTTTCACCAACATTTAATGAAAAATAAATAAATGAACTTATGATAAAAATAATGACATATTTTATAAATATAGAATATAAAAATTTTCTCTCTCAATTTTATAAACAAACCTAGGGAGAGGGATCTGAACAGGAGAGTTTAAGTGACGGGCAAGCAAATCAAGATATATCCATCATGTGGGGTACACGTGATTCGTGAACATGATACATGCAAGTCATTTAATGAAAACCAACAAGTTCATTTGGCCCCGTCCCAGATCCA